TGTCGCACGTTACACTGCGTGGGGGAATGGGGGGGGTGTCACCTTATACGAGCGGGAAGCCTGCCGGAGCTCCTTCCTGCCCAGTTGCCTTCCCCAGGGGGGTTCTGGACTGGAAACCCATTGGAAAGGCATTTCAGGCTGGGCCTATTTTCATTAATTTTAGACAAATCTTCATAAGCTCTGCAAAGTCTAACGAAGCTTGATTGTGAGGAAGTCTCTAGTTAACGTTCTTGATAGTAATTGGACAGCTGCCCTTCTGGGTCAGAAAGGTCCGTGTAGAGTAGGAGAAGAGGACCGGTAGTTGCATGGAGGTTTGCAGTCTGCATGAAGAGTTCTGTAGCAAGTCCTGGGTAGGGGGTTGTAGCCTCACCCTTTTTAGCTGTTAGTGGGCAGGTGCATGCTGAGAATTTGACCTCTCTGTGTCCCACGTGTTCTGCCAGTAAAATGGGGATCAGCCTGCCGTGGAGTGTAGACAGTCCATTAACGTTTGGGATTTCTGCGTGAAAGAGAATTTCCAAGCAGGCTTGTTAGTGGTACTTTGCAGAGTGCACTTCTGCGTGCAGAACACCACCAGTGACTCGGATATGTCTGATGCTTGTATTCTCTCTAGAAAATGAATGATTGGGCACCCATAGCGAAGGAGTATGACCCCCTTAAAGCGGGGAGCATTGATGGAACAGATGAAGAGCCGCATGACCGAGCCATCTGGAGGGCCATGCTGGCACGGTATGTACCCAATAAAGGGGTGGCAGGTGATCCCCACCTCACCCTGTTTGTAGCGAGACTAAACCTACAGACCACGGAAGAGAAGGTGAAGGAAGTCTTTTCCCGATACGGAGACATCAGGAAGATCCGCCTGGTGAGAGACTTGGTCACCGGCTTTTCCAAGGGCTACGCATTCATCGAGTACAAAGAGGAGCGTGCTCTATTGAAAGCCCATAGGGATGCCAACAGGCTGGTTATTGACCAGCATGAGATATTTGTGGACTTTGAGCTGGAAAGGACCTTAAAGGGATGGATTCCCCGGAGGCTCGGAGGTGGCTTCGGGGGCAAAAAGGAATCTGGGCAGTTGCGATTTGGAGGACGGGACAGACCTTTCCGAAAGCCCATCAATTTGCCAAATATGAAAAGTGATTTCTACGGAGAGGGAGCAGCGGAGAAGAGAGAGAGGAACTGGACTCGGGATGGAACAAGGGACTGGAGAACCAGAAACCGAGACCACGAAAGGAGCAGGGACAAGAGAGGGCCAGAAAGGGAGCGATCCTGGGGTTGGGGAGAAAGCGAGCGGGAGAGAGACCGGGACTTCAAAGAGGAAAGGAGCAGAGAGAGAGAGAGGAAGGAGAGAGACAGAAAAGACAGGGAGAGGGACCGGAGCAGGGAGAGAGACCCCAGGAAGCAGAGAGATGATGACAAACACAGGTAGAGAAAAAAAGTATCTTTACCGAAGGTAGGCTGAACAGTAACATGCTATGAGTTTGGGCCTGGAGCCTGGCCTCTCTGTAATAGCCTGAACTAAAAACTTCTGAACACACCCTTGAATTGTGAGTGGGACTGATCCCCAACCCCTGAATATTGTTCTCGTCTCTGGCTTAAAAGAAAGTAATTGGGATGCTGTGAGCTTCCACCTCCAGAGGGGCACTGATAACATAGTACCATTCCCCAGGAAGTGGGGGAAGGTACAGTCTGGGTGCAAAATGCCACAGGTCCATTAACTACAGCAAACTTGGCTCTTCTCTCTGCCTTACTGTTCTGTAAAGGTTTTACTGGCAGTAAAGGTAAATGATTCCAGCAGTAATTTGGCCTCTGGGCCTTTGATAAACAGAGCAATTTTGACAAGTCCCACATGTTAAGTAACAGTTGTCTTTTCTTTGGTTTGTCTTGAGTTTTTCTCTTTTGCTACATGTTAACATAGTCTTTTTGTGGGAGCAAACCTTTCTCTTTCCTGGAGGCCAGGACTGGTGTAATCAGTCACCCTTAAAGTAAAAGCAAAATCAACATTTCCCACAAACAGGATAGAGCCCAATTGTGTTATAACACAATCCCATTTGCACAGTGGAGTTACCCGTGTAGACACACCCATGTATTACTTTAGGGTCATAGGTTCAGCCTTGGCCTGTCCGTTACGCTCAGTTTGGAGCAGAAAAAGCTGCAGCAGGCAGCAGTCACATTCCCAGCGCTCCAGAAAGAAGCTGGAATGGCCATCCCAAGCAAAAATGCTAAGGCAGACCTTAGGATATTACTGGTTATTTTATTTTTTGGTCTTCAGAAATTGTCTTTAATTTGCTTTATGTGTTTTATGGATGAGGAGGTAGGTGGGTATGAGGAAATAAAAATTTGGGGAGAACAATAACTTACCAAGGTCTGCATAGTTTTGTTTTTAACAACATTAAGGTATTGTCAGTTGGTTGCCAGTTGTCTCATACTCTATTGTATATAGAAAATTAAACCTTTTCTGTTTACTGTTCTTAGCCAAGCCATATCTGTTAGCATTCTGTAAGGAACATGTGATGTGCAGATGTGCCTGCATTCCCACCTGCTGGGTCAGTGGGATGTGAAATGAATGTGTGCCCAGTTGGTCCAGCTCTTTAGAGAATGGGTCATTTGTATGCAAGATTGCAGAGTGCTGAACTGTTTCCTAAATGCCAGGGGGTCACATCCAGTTTGAAAGTCAGAGCCCTCCATGTGAAGTTCTCTATTGAAGAAATATCTGTAAAAACCTGCCATGGGGATTTTAAAAATGTTTCATGCATTTGGAAGTGATTCACTTACTTGAGAAGCATTAAGATTGATTAGCAATATGCACCCTTGACTCATGCTGAGGGTAGTTATAGGCAAACGTGCATTAAGAAAGCTCTCTTTTCATGCGTGGTCTTTCTCCCTTCTTTTGTTCAAGTCTCAGTTAACCAGCACAACTTACAGCCTCTCACTGTAGATATAAATAAGGGAAGATTTGTAGGCAAAGCTTCCCTTATTTATAAGGGAAGATTTAGATTTAGTTTATAAGATAAAGATTTAGTTACAGTTACAGTTTATCTTTTAGATAAAGATTTAGTTACAGTGACTAGTGGCTAATTTCCACTAGTCACTGTAACTATAGCACATCCCAATAGAAAGTCCATGGAGATTTCCCAGTAGAAGCAAAGTAACGGGATATTCATCCAAATACATTTTTTGTTTTGTTTTTAGAGCCCTATTCTAGTTTTCAGGGGAATGTTGCTAGGGGAGCAGACATGCTGAGTGCTACCCAACAGTCACAAAGCCAGTGAAACACTTTTGTTCCCCACAGCTGGCATTAATTGGTGCTAGAATGATGCAACTTGTCTATTGTCCTGCCTTGTCCCCTGCTCTCTCTGTACTTGCTCTTTATTGCTGAGAAAGCACAGCTTCAGGGGTTCCTATTGTGCAAAGCGGCAAAAGGCTCTTCTGTGCCACACATACTGTAGAGTCAGGAAAGCTGGCTGTAACAATTAAAAGCTCTAGTGGAGGCAGAGCCAAAACATGATACTCTTTTACACAGTTAAATCCTAGTTGGTTCAGGTTTTTAGCTCAGTTTTGGGAAATGGGGCACCATACGGTTAAACCACAACCATTCATATCTGAACTGGTTCCCAACTCTTTTACAAATGTCATATACACAGAGAGACTCCCTGGGCCAGAAATGATGTATTCTGCATCCAGCGTATTGATGTCATAAAGGGGAAGGCTCAGTTGAGAACGCACCAGCAACAGTTTTCATAAATATTCTTGGTAGTACCAATTCACACGCAGCCTAGAGAAGGCCTTAGCCCATGGCTGCACGCTACATACACTTCAGCTAGGATTTTCCTGTACTCATGCTCCCTGGTGTTCAGGCCAGCTTTGATCTGAGTGCAAATGCATTAGTGAAACCTCTGTGCTAGCTTAAATGCCAAGCTCTGTCCACAGGGCCATTCCAGAACTGGGGATGGGTGTAGCACAGGGTGGCTTTACCAGATTTCCTTGTAAGACACAAAAGGCAAGTCATTCAGAAATCTTTATTAAAAGTGATTTATTATTGAACCAAAGAAACCTCCAGTATCTTGCACTCCAATTACAGGACTGCTCTACCTCTTGCCTGATAAGACTGTGACCTTTTAAAAGAAGAGCATTTACTTGAATATCAAGAAGCCACATGGCAGAGATTTAACTCTTTGACTGCTCAAAATGTACAGCTCTTGCCCAGGAAGCCTCCTTTCAAATGACCACCCTGTCTGAGCACAGTAGCTGAAAGTTTCCAGTCTGAGGATCAGGAATGAAAAGGTTAATGTTAGCAGTACAAGAGCAATTAGATTATGGAGGTAACAGCCATGGAGATGAATGGGGGAAGTTCTAACTGCTTAGTGCTATTGTGTCAGATGGGCTGCAGCCCCAGCTCAACAAAAGCACATTAGCATTGGGGCTTGAGGACTAGCTTTACAAGCATTATGTCTAGAAACTTCCTTTTTCATAAATAAGCCTATGGTACTGGGCAAATTAGGACAGTCTGTATTTCTATTGTCCTAGTTCATCATTCTTAATCAGTTTGGAAAATGGTTTGCTTATTCAGGTGGTGAATCTGCTACATTCTTGCACTGCTTAATATTGCTCTATCTGCTGCTAAAGTGCCAGACAACAGCTCTAAACTGTGCTACAAGGAGTTACAGAAACAGCTCACCATGGCATGCATGTCACCCCAGGATCTAGTACAAACTCTGGACTTGGAAAGAATAACAGTGGTCTGGGTTTATCACTTGTTCCTGGTTCAAGACAAACTCACACAATGGTTAGCTCCAGATTAGAATGCTTTACTAGCAGAGGAAAATCTCAGCAGTTTGGGGACAGATCTTTTCCAAAGTTAAAGGATGGAAGTATTAGAGATTAGTATGCACTAGAATCTTTTTCCAGCTTTCACTTACCTTAGCAACTGCACGGTACGGTAGCACTCTTCCTAATTACGCTTTTTTTTTTTAATATTTTGGAAATTGTGGAAAGCATTACGTTAACATTTTCCAAGTTTAGGGTAAGGGCCTACATGCAAATACAGCTGCTTGCTTCATCCAGGTTTTAAATAAGGAGCAATATTTCTACCACCTAAGTGTGAGGTTTGGATCTGTCAGTGTTCCTAAATCCGGTTTTGTTTCTGTAGCACTGCCTTCACAAAGTGCTAGTTTTAGACATTATCACCATCTCAAATATAGAAACATTTTGAGCAAGAGAACCATCGCCTTTCCCCTGCCTTAAAAGGAACTTCAACATGATTTAGAGGCTGAAGTTTAAAACACCTGTCCCTTTACTGGACCAGAACTAGTCTGAGGGTTTCTGAATGAGCTGGGTACTTAGATTCCCCACAAGCAAGGCATGGTTGGGGAGGTGCCTCGTCATCAGCCATGTTCAAGCCTGTTAAGAGTGGATTGTGATTTAGGATTGGTTTCAGCTAAGGAGCTATATGCACTCAAAAGAATCAATCATAGCAGGAGTCTATATTAGTTAATTTTATCCCTTTTTCCTCCTCCTATGTGCTGATCCTATAATGGGGAAAGACACAGCTCCTACCTAAAGCATGTTAAGCTCTGCTCTGTTCCTGGCTAGTCCACTTATGGTACCAAACAGGACAACATTTAACTCCTGTAGCAACAGAGTTTTCCAATGCAGCTCTATTTAGAGAGAGGCTGCATATGGACTCCCTGGCTTACATTCCCAGAAATGTTTTTTACTCCACAAACAGTGGTACTAAATGATCCTGTGGACTCCGAGAACCCGAGGGGACAGTGCTTCCCTACAGCTTGCTACATTCTGAGCCCTGTCTACATGCTTCCCTACTGGTTCAGGTCCAGTAACATTGGGTGTTGTAAGATGAACAGAGCAGTGCCTACCACTTTTGCTACTGCAATTTAGCAAAACATGAGAGCAGGTCTATTTACCATAGTGTCTAAATGCTAACAATGGCTCCTAGCCCATCTCTGCTAGAGCTTAGGACTTTAAAGTAACTTCTTTTCCCTTCCTTTCAGTGTAGGCAACTGCTAACACTGTAGATATTTCTCCCGCAGGATTATGTTCTAGTACAGTTCTTTAATTGTATAGCTGAAGCCAAGCAAGGTTTAACGTCCTTTTTGGTAAGGAATAGTCAGTTTGGGCATGCGTCCACACTTCCCCACCCCCAAATTACTTAAGTAGAATGGACAAGGCCTCTCATGCAAGGAGAAGAGTATGGCAAAGATTTTCTTCTCCAGAAGTGGGGGAGAGAGAGAGACAGGCAGACAGACATGTCCATGGTGGTGCGAGTAATGGTTCTGGCTGCAGTTCTTCCATAGGACTCTGCTGTCAATGTTCTTGTAGCCATAGCATCATTCATTCACATACAGTTAGATTGCAGTTAGGCTTGCAGCAGAAACTGTGGATCTAAATCTGACATTACCCCACATCAACTGCCTTCAGCTGCAGGATTGTCATGATCAAGTTCAGCTCCAGTCCTGCAAGCTGTTCTCTATGACGGTATGCCCACACAGAGGCTTACCAAAATAGTGTTGTGTAGCTTGCAATGAAATGAGAGGCTCTATTCGCTCTGTGCAAAATTTTAGCTAAGTCTGGAAGGGGGAAGAGTTGGATTTGGCACTCTCTCTACCATAGAAAAAAGCTGTTCATGTCAGCGAGCTTAAAAAACACCCTTTTCTACTAAACAGTCTTCAAGTTGGGAGCAAAAGTTCAATTAGTGTTGCCTATGGCTTTTTTAAAGCCTTTTGTAGAAATAAGAGCCACTTCACATACAGCAGCAATCTGGTAATAAGAGGGGCCTGGCAGAGAAGAGTCTGGTAAGAAGGGAAAAGAAAAAAAAATACAAAGCAGTAGAATTCCTCAGTATGAGCAATTCATTTTCTGTTAATACTGCATAACTCATAGCAAAATGCAAGGCACACTCACCTTGTACATCAGTATTTTTGTGCTTTAGGCACTATAAATGAAGTGAAACATAGTCACTGTCCTTTTCAAGACAGCTCTATGTTCTATACTTGTGGCCATGGGAATTTCAGGTGGTGTCTCTGCAAGATGCAGACACCTGCTAAGGTCTAGACAGGATGCAGTGCTGATCAGACCTGCCTTGGAAAGTGACAGTTCATGGTCTCTCTCTCTGCAACCGTCATTAAACAAACCTAAGGAAATATCAAAACACCCCTTCCTTCCCACGCGTGTTAACAAAAATGGTAATAAAGTCTTCAAAGTCTTCACCAATAGATATCGTACAATGCAAATAAACCTCTAATAATAGCATAGGTCTTTTTGGTTTAAAGAAGCTTGTGTTACTGTCGTTAAATGCAAGAGCCAGACCGTAGACTTGTTATTCAGCACAAAACCAGTCATCTAAAAGCTTTGATGCCCCTGGGTATAAATAACGATTACTACAGAGCCTGGATTCTGTTTTCAGAGAGCAGTCACCAAGTAAACACTGAGGGATCCCTTTTGAAGAGTACATCTGAAACACAACCATCGAGGTGTGCAAGGCAAATAAAAATGTTGAGCTGCCAGATTTGGTTACAGAAGCTTCTCCTTACTAAAATGTCTAGATCTACTGTTGCAAGCTCAGTGCCTCAGGGCTCTAGTCACAGGTGCTGCAGGGCCTCCTGCCCTTGTTCGGTGTAGGAGTCATCTTTGTTGGAATTCGCCCATTCGCCAAAAGAATCCTGGAAGCGAACATTTTTCTGCATCGTCTGCATGCGTTTTTTATCACGAGAGAAGAAGCTAAACCTTCACAAAAGGAGAGAGAGACACAAGTTAGGGCCTAGTGGTCTGGGGAAAAACCGGCAATCCTGAAATGTCTATGATGCGATACACAGCACAACAAAAAACTTAAAAGAGCAAAACAATTGGTTTGCGTCTGCAAAATTAAGGCAATGAAGCCTAATGCAGTGCATGTCAGATGTTATTCAAGATGAAGGTGTGGTCTTTAGCTGCTTTGCTAAAGAAGCTTCATAGAAGCCTTAAATGCGGTGGCCTGTGCAAGTGTGCAGAGATTATAGGTGCATTTTATTCCATTATTTATAAAAGCAGCAACAGGATTAGTTTCTTGGGATAAAGTAAAGGGATCGTCTTTGGTTTGAAAATACTGTACCATGTTTTCAGGCAGAAAGAGAGAAGGGCTATTATAGCAGGAAAATTAAGCACGGTAAAGTGATTTTTTTAAATAAAAATTGCGTAAAAGCACAGAGCTTTATTAACATATGCATGCATATGCATGCTCTGGCTTCTCTTCAAGTCGCATAAATCTTTCGCCTTTTACTAAAGATTTCCATGGAGAGGAGCAGTTATGCTTGCACAAGTTGGGCCTAAGGGTTTTAAACTAAATGTGAGTAAGTTTACATATCATTTATTGACATGCAATGGCATGCATGAGCTGACAGTCATTTAATAAGGCTGCAAACTGAATGTTTAAAAAATTGCAATGCTGACACTACATAACATCTGAAAAAGTAGGATTGATGCAAAAAACGCAAACATTCTTTGCTTTAGTATTATTGTGGTTTACATGGCAGAGAAGTTACTAAATTAAGCAAAGGCAATCTTGTTCTTTCAGCAAGTTGTGCATTATGGCAGTAGATAGTGGGGAAATGCAAAAGTTAAGGTTCCAGCTAGAAGAGTAAGCCCACAGCTAGGCTTTCAAATGTTATGGTGAACTAAATTATGTCTTGGAGTGTGTCTGCACAGTGTAATCCTGCTCTAGATGCTACTACAATGCGAAGTAAATTCACTCGTCCACAAACTATGTTAAGCATTTCCTAAGAACGAGTTGGAAATACTACTTCGACTCAACACAAGTTAGTGAAATCTGTCATGGGGGGGGCCTCAACTTTTTGCATTTCCTTTCTGATTTTTAATCCAAAGCTTTAGCAGCACCGTGTTTTGCAGTTAACTTTCTGTTCAAGAAAACTTATTTCAGTACCATTCTGCCACTTTCATGACTGGAACTTGTAAATTTTTTTATGTTGTAGTGTGTATCTGTGCTGCTCCTCACCCCAAAACACAGGAGGGGGGAGGTCAGATCCAGTTTCCACTGAAGTTACAATGCACAGCTAATAGGCTTTCTGCTGTGCCTGTTCAGTTTGACACCTTCAAGCGTAATAACGCACACTACTCACTGAGAGCTGCTGTATTTACACAGTTCGTTTTAAATGTCAGAGTTCAGCCATTTGAGTCTTCTGCATTAAATTAAGTGTATTTTTATATAGACACTTCTAAATTGAGCTGAAGGAATTTTAAATATTTAACTCAAAATGTAAAGTTATTGTTGGCCATGAAAGTATGGCACCTTTCAGACCCCCAAAGTTAGGAACATATATAATGCCCTACTTTCCCCCAAACATTTAGAGGGGAGGGGAGGAGGCAGTTAAGAATAAACTTTTTGCAGCAACAAACATAGCTGTCACATAATGATTGCTTCAATCCCAATCACAATGCAAAAACAAAAGAAAAGAAAAATTTGCATTAACAATAGTCAATGCTCTTGTGCAGCAGTTGCCAAGAATTTGTTGTCAGATTGGTTGTAAGTACAGACACTGTCTTTCAGAACACAACAGGGGACCAAAATCCCCCAGTCACATGCTCTCAGACATTTAGAGGACAGCCTATAATAAGCTCTAGGAGTTAATATGGAAATCATCGCTATATTCTGTATAACTGATTGATAAAAATGACATGATTTTTAAAGATCATGCCAGTGCTTTTGAGACAGACAGGCCTAGCAAGCAAAAAGTTAATTGTTGCTAATTAAAATGTTCTTATTGAATTAGTTTCTTAAAGGTAACAAGAGATTGGTTTAGCTGGGTAACATTAGACAAAAAGAAAAGTGATGAACTGAATACTCAAGAATGAATGATTGAGGATTAAAATGAGTTGGTCCTGATTGATCATTCTGATTGGCACCGAGCTTCTGTGATCCCACAGTCAGCCAATGAGAATGCAACCAGCAGCATAACTTAACACAAGGGACATGCAAAAGAAAACCACAGTACCAAACATTTAAAAAAAAATCCTACAAGGGACACAAGTCTTCTTATTGGCTGCAATGTGGGATCGTCTGGAATCAATCCAGCTGCTACCATGGGCATTATGGCTGTAAAGATCCTGGTCAGAAAAGTACAGACACAGAAGAGATAAGAGACTGGAGTAAGAAAAATAAAAAGGCATTCCATTAAAAGGAAGGAAACAGGGCAAACAAGATACATGGGTTACTTGGAATTACCACACATAGGACTTGCTACAAAGTGAAATGTGCCAGCATCACTTGAGACAGCTGATCACTGGAGATTTGGTTTGTGAGAAGTTAGTCATTGTCACTGGTGGTTAGGTTGCTATAAACATTCATAAAGAGCTCAAATCTCCATAGCGATGCAGCCCAGAGTCTTGGTGTAACCTCACTGAGAGATCATCTCAAGTGATGCAGAGTGTCAGAGCGAACATTGTTTCTTTTAACAGATCTGTACCAGGAAGAACAGACAGGCATGTACATGATGATATGAAGGATGAAAGTGCAGGTCATTAAATACACAAACAGGGCTGCTGCTGTTCCAAGGACATTTGCATAGGGAAATAAGGTTAGCAGTGGTCAGTATTAGTGTTAGGGGTCTTGGAAGGGGCAAAAGTGAGAATACTGCCAACTTAAAACAAAATCAAGACCAGACAGACAAGCCAGGTGAAGGTTTTCAAAATGAACCTTTTGCATTCTACTTTGTTAAAAGCCCACAGATCTCCTCTTAGAAGTCCTGTATTAATTCACACGCAGGAAGATCGCAACCACAGACAGCTGTATGACTCATTTAAGACCTTGCAAACTCTTTTTGTAGCTGACTTGTCAGGCATCAGTTCCTTTATTAGACTCCAGCACTGTTACTCATACAGTTCATGCAATTTAGAGGCACACTGTGAAGCTCTAGGGCAGCCAAACTTGAGAGCAGATTACCTAGCTGCTCTGTACAACCTGTTCCATGCAAGTCTGCCAAGGCACCTTCACCCATACCTACCATAGCCTCTGTTTTTCTAAGCATTTTCTTCAGAGGCTCTCAATTTATTTTTGCACTGTGGACTAATGTTAAAGATGAAGTTGAGATCATCAGTCATTTCACTTGTGACCAAATGCCACTCTGAACTCTTCCCACCACAGCTGCTTTAGCTGCTATTCTTAGTTTCAGACAAACAAACATTGTTATATCAGTAGCCATAGCTAGGGCTTCTAGCTTTTCATGTCATGGCCCACTCTGAATTCAGACTGACACATGGGCTTTTGTGGGTTATAAAAAAACCCAAAACTTAAAGGACTATTTCAGGCATTACGTCAGGGACAAACAAGCGTGGCAACTTTAAAGACAAAAGGGTGTTTTCTGCAGTGTACTAACAAAACAGAGCTAGCAATCTTAATGCCAGTACTGTTGGGTTTTTTCTTTTAGTAGCCAACAAATATGCCCTCGAATTCTGCTAATTAGAGAGAAGATTCATTTACAAACAAGATGCCATCACAGGGTTGAAGCCCTATTAAAGTTTTTTAAAAAAATCAAGTTGTAAAGCCAGGGATATATAGATATGAGTTCAGAACTTCCGCTTCCCTTCATTGGTTACAGCAACAAAGAGTCATATGTTGATCGTAGTTTTATGTAGAGTTTAGATTAAGGATTGTACAGGATGGTTTGGATAGGGATGATCCTGCCTCAGGCAGGGGGTTGGATCAATGGTTTTCAACCTTTTTTCATATGTGACCCCTAAAACATTTTGAATGGCGGTGCGGACCCCTTTGAATTGTACGTGTGGGTATTCACATACTTTTTATTGATCATAGTCATCTTTGTGGACCCCTTAGGCATAGTCTGTGGACCCGCAGGGGTCTGTGGACTGTAGGCTGAAAACCACTGGACTATATGAGCTCTGGAGGTCCCCTTCCAGTCCTAGTTCTCTACGATTCTATGAGCAAATCTAGCACAGAACAGAATACATCTCATTGACTGCATGACCAAACTGCACTGCTTTCTCTTGATAGCAAGTACAGAGTTACAAGGGCAGTCTACTTTTCCTAAAGGATGCAACAAATCTATCTTGTCTTGCTTTACTTTTAGGCTCTGTTAAGAGGGAAAGACCAAGACCATGATTAGGCCCAGAGGGTTCTAATCCCAGCTGTGTTTCACCTTGTAGAGGGCGCTATGGTAACAGAAACACCACCCAGCTCTTCCGGCAGTGTTGCAGGTTTGGAAACTAATATTAAGTACTGCCTTTACTGAGTAGCTGCCTGAATGCCCAGAGCATCAAAAACACAAGCTAGAACTGGAGAGAAAAAACAGCAGTCAGCCCTGGGAACAGATGGTCTCTGAGCCCTACCAGTCAAGAAGCAGGTGACTGGTTGAGCAATGTTCCTTCCCTTTGCTTCCTGACTAGGTGGGCTGCAATGGTGACAGCTGCAGAAGTAAACACGGAAACAGAGAACTTGGGAAACTTTCTTTTAAAAAGGATACTGTAAAGCCCTGGCACCTATCTAATTAGAGTATTCGTGGGGACAGCTGGAGTTTTAGAAATTCTTCCCAGCTCATGATTGCAGCCAGTGTCCCCATCTGGAGCACTAAGGCAATCGACCAAGGACGGGGATAGACAGGAGAAGGAAGAGAAAACAAATGGGCCTGACTAGACAGGATGCAGACAGAGTTGGAGTCCTGACCAGGTTAGTTTAAAATTGAGATTTATTTTCCACCCATATAAAGAAAGGGTGACCTCTCCGCATCTGCATGTGACACAGAAGCCATGCAACTAAGTGGACCAGTTGAAAGGTAAGGCATGATTCATGCATGACTGGTTTACTACACACTTCCATGTCCTGGCAAGAACAGGCCAGGGGAGTTCTGGAACATGGGCGTGCCTTCAATGTGAAAGGAGTTTTTGCCTTTGGCTTCTTTCAACGGGTTTAACTTGCACTTTTAATGTTAGTAAACTTCTGCATTTAAAGCAGGATGAGATGAGAAACAGATTGATGTGAACACTTATTTGGAAATTCACAACTTGATTAATGGTCAGGTGGTTAGCATGGGCTTTTGAACACCCAGAAAAGTTGATGATCTATTGTTTGGAGGAAGGAACTGGTGAGACAGCCAGCACAGTAATACTCAGGCCTTCCAGCATTGCATCTCTGCATATGTTGGAACTAGGCAATCACACTAATGACATCCAGTTAGCACGAACTGCATCCTAACAAAGTGTGTGCAACTTAGATTTTTGTCAAGCTTTCACTAAAAGATAAGAAATGCAGTACACATATAAGCTGCCATCTTGGTGGATTAGCTAACTGAAACCAGCCATCTTTCAAAGAGAGTGAAACCAAATAAAATGAGGTATGAAAGATTAAAGAAAGATTAATAAAGAAGTAAGAGATTAATAAAGAAGTAAGTTGGCCCATCCAAATTGACACACACTCCTTTAAGCGATTCTAGAACAGCTTCATAAACACTTCCAAGATAGAAACTAATCCAAAGGCCAAATTTAGGAACACGTTTTCAAAGAATACAAAATAAAGCATTATCAGAACTTGGCCTGTTATTGCATGCTAATTGCATAATCCAAAAACTAGGGAAATTAACCAAAAGACTCCCATTAGATTAGGATCAGATCTCAAGATCCTTCAATGGAAGGTAGTGCACAAGTGCCAGTACTCTTCTATAAAGAAAAGGTTATATGCACATGGGGAAAGAATAGAAGTATCTTTCAAGTAAAAAGCGGGCCATAATCAAGGTCATTTTTATAGTTAAAGCTTACATTATTCACAATCTGAGACTCTCTTAGCAGGTTAAGACTAATTAGGAATAAATATGATAGAGGGGTTGAATATTGCAATGAACAAATCAGGTAACATGATTTTATAGCCAAGTCCTCCGATGCTAATTGTTAATTGAACATTTTCCATTGGAAGCACAGGGTTTTGTTGATTTTTTTTTTGGTATTATTATACCGCATTGTAGATGGCTACAATGCTTTATAGCCTAATAAATAGCAAGACAAGATCTTTCTGTTAGGTGCAGCAAGACGAGAGTTAGGAAGATCTGTCCCAGGGCAAAAACTAAGGCAAGGCTCTAGACTGAAGGCTCAGATGTTTAGAGAAGCTAAGGAATAGCAACTTAGTAATGGGAATGGAAGAGCTCCATACCGTTACAGGCTCAGGTGCTTATCTCTATTACAGTCAATGTACTCTAAAAATCCTAGGGGCAAGACCTAGAGCAGTGATTCTCAACTAGGGTGTTGTGGCATCCTGGAGCGCTGCCAGATCCTTTGAAGGGTGCTGCAAAGTGTGAGGAGATAAGCAGATGAAGGCAGGCTCAGGATTGTCCCTACCTGAACAATACCCCACCCTCACAACCCAGCATGGGGGTAAGAACTTTAATATGTACATTTGTTTTTGAAATTTGATGTCGAATAATTAAAAAAAGCAATGGAAGGGGGCCTCAAGTCCAACGAGGGGTGCTTCGAGTCCAGAAAGGTTGAGAACCACTGACCTAGAGGCAGTAGCTTGCCAGTGCTTTCCTGTTGTGGAACCACTCTATCCCCTTACAGCCTCTGCCCCAAGGAGTTTACAATTTAGAGTTAAACAAGAATACAAAAGCTCCCTGTTATACATCCATTTTGGACACCAAGTCTCATACTGACCCCAGCATGTTGGATACCTAGAAAACACAGAGTCAGGCTCCAGATAGCGTGGCCTGCGAGACATTGCCATTCTTTACTTCTACGCATAGATGTACATCTACTCACAGACTGAAGAGGGTTCCCATCAAGAGCAGGCGTTGGTGTTTAACAACTTCTTAGCTTATATTTACTTATACATTGTTATGAATTGTAGCAACATATGCTGTTCCATTTGATTTAAATATTACAAACAGTCCTCAAGAAGGAAATACTACAATTAAACGGAGCTCCTCAGGAGCAATCTGGCCTATGGATGCAAGCACATAAGACACTTTCTCTTTTCTGCATCACTATGTGCATGAAGGGATTGAAAGGTGTTAAGAGCACTTTGTGAAAAATAGATATTAAGATCAGGACCAAGTTATATATTGTTTCATAAATCCTTAAGAGTGTGCTTCTATAGCAGCGGGAGATATAACACATGATTATATCCAAAGCATACAGGGGTGATGTCACCAAGTGAATTATTTTTAGATTCAGGAACTAAACAGTTCCCCCCTCTGCCTTCCAAGAAACATGCTGCAGCATATAGACCAATTCAGCAGCCTTGAAAGGAAAAGCTACTTACAGTCGTTTGATTCCTGATTCTGGCTGAGTTGAGGGTTTTGAGTGAATGATGGGTGTAGGCTGGGGGGTTCTGGTTTCTTCTTCCATTTCCTCACTAAAATAAAAAAAGGTGGAGTTAGCATCCAGTTCTTCCACGTCCCTGGAGAAACAAAAAATAAAGCTTACAGAAGTTTTCTAAGTCATGGGAAATGGAGGGGGCTTATCCCAAACCTTTCAAAGGTGGTTGGCATCTTTCACTGACTTTGTTTCAGCTCCTCAATTGCTACAATCATCAGGTCAGTAGTGGCGAGAGACAGGCTCTCTACCAGTCTGGCAAGGGGGTTTACAGGATTAATGCCAGAGGCAGGCCCGCCAAAGGGCTGTATCATTTTCCTGAACTCAGTCCAGGAGGGCCTCCCACCATAGAGCAGTCCCTGCAGAATCACAGGCTGAGCTTAATGGCTCCCACCATCTACCATATTAGAGAAAAGGTGTTTTTTTATTTTTAAAGGTGCTGGAATGACATCCCAGGAGCTGTCCTGTCTATCCTCCAAAAAAAACTAGGTGAAATGTGAACAGCAGCTATTAGCTTCTTCCTCCCATCATTATGCATCAGTGATGGGCACGCTTCACACGCCTGCATTTGTTTGACATCTCTCCTATTGATAGTTCTCAGGTTTCTAGGAATTTTGCAGTTAGAGGTCTAAAAACCAAGCTCCCATCAAACTGGGAAAATTCAAATATGAACCAAAGTTTTGTGGCTTGGAGCCATTGCAGATTTTAAATCTTAGGGGAAAACAAAGGATCAACTCTCATTGCATAGCAGAGACTATTTAAAAAGACACTTCTTTCTACCTAGTGTTTCACAACAGAAGCTGTGGAGACAGCAGTGCCAGAGGTGACAGCTAAGATACCTTTTATAATACAAGAGCTCCTCTTGCAGCAAGAACACTTTTGACTTGAGTTCATTCCTCTCGTGCAAGACATCCCGTAACTCTTGCAAAGTAAATCTCGGACGATTTGGATCTTTTAAATCCAGAGCCATCTTCTCCGATTCAGAGAGAGATTCATCATTGTTTGGTTCTATCTGCAGGATGAAATACAGACTTACTGCACAAGCGATACAGGCCTAAGAACTTAGAGGTGTGACGCAACCTGCCATCTCTGTGCTTCTGACAGAGCAGGATAGTGTGAAGTGTCCAAATGGCTATGCTAGGAGTGCCACAGAAAACAAAACCCTTACTGCATTGGTGCTCACGATTCCCTGCAGAACAATCAAATATTAACAGGCTACAGCCTTTACCGTGCTTGCCATAGTCAACAGTGAACAAATGGACAGGACTGGCCTTGTTTTGCAGGCCTCTGAAGGATGGCCTTACCCTTACCCAGCTCATTTTCTCGTGGCATCACGTGTGCGCCCTACAGCAAGGTCTCTGTGAAATTTCCACTGCAGTCTGTGTCCCTGCTCATAGGAATTTTCTTTCCTCCTCTGTATAACAGGGACTGTCCTTTCAAACGTGATTCATGATTTTGGATACCACAGTTTGAGACACTTGGGGGATTCCAGTTTTCAGGGTGTAGATGCTCAGCATATTCTGAAAAAAAACAGCTTTCTCCAAGAACCTCTTTTGAAACATGGGGCCTGGGTTTTATTAAGCAAGATGCGTTGAAGCCTACTTTATATCACTCGGCTTGCTAAACAGACTTCTGCTGTGCGGCTTGTCCGTCGCATTTCCAGCCGTAAGTGGAAGGCTCCTATCGAAGATGCTGCAAGTTTTCCCAAACTATATTTAAAGATGATGAAAAGCTTCTGCTTCCTTAATTCCTGTAATGAAAGGATCTGTGAAGGAAGCCTACAGATGTGCGCAGTGCATTCCACTTTGGCTAGGGATAGCAGACGAGGAGGTTTGAAGATAGAAGAGCTCACTCCATCCTTCTTTTGGTAGAGATGTACATTCAGTGAATTCAGAGTTGGGAGATTTCTCTAGCCTGGGGCCTTCATACGGTCTCTCAGCTGCATCCTTATTTCTGTGGCACTCGTCCGGCAGAACGTGGATGTAGGTGGATTCTCAGACCTTCGTGGAAGCCAACTACAGTCCCTGGGAGGCAGCAAACAGGTGATTTCACAAGCCAGGCCTGCCTATATTTCCGTGGGCCCCGCCCCTTGCCTGCTGATTGGCCAAGGGGCCCTAGTGGCCACACCCCTTGCTGATGATTGGTGCAGAAGGGCGGGGCCACACAAAAGGCAGCTCTCTCAGCCAGTCGGTGGCAGAGGGAGCTGCTGCCACCTTTTCCACTCTTCTTTGGGCTGGTGACTTCTCCCCACCTACCTGGGGAGCCAACATTTTATTTATAGTAAGTTTTTTTCCCCCACACAGTGATTCCATGCAGAGTCATGGAAACCACGGTTTTTCACAGTTTTTGCAAAAATTGCATTTTGAGTAGGTCCCTAGTCCCTGGGGCTCAGTGCAGGCACCACGGTCCACCTGTATCCAACTGTGTGCAGGGACTTGGCCAAAGGGACTGTGGCACAGCGGAGGGAAAGGTACTGTACAGGGTGTCTGCTGTTAGACATTGTATCGAGCAGGAGTAGGAAATCCTGGGGGAAACTTATGCAGAGCAGGACTCCCCAGGAAGAGCCCAAAAGCTTCAGGAGTCTCCAAAACTTCCAGCTGCAAAAATAAATCCAGGGCACGCTGTTCCAGTGCAGTACATTTGAAACTTAATACTTTTTTTTTTCCTCAAGACCTGACTAGATGCCAGCTCATAGAAGCACGGTCACAACCTGGGATGGGAGACAGATGCCACCGAACCCAATCCAGACAGCCGGGCTGCCCCTCTTCCCAAACAGAGAAGAAAAATTCTGCTCGTGGTTTACAACAGCACGAAGCTCCTAACTAGGAACTTCTACACAAATCAAATCCACCTAAATATACACGCACATTTTGATAAGCTGAATGGCAAAGGACCAGAACAGGGGACTCAATGGTCCCGGGGAAAACTTCCCAAAGTAGAACGCCACACCCCTAATCATGCAATGCTGATAAAGATTTCTCTCTTTAAAGATCTGCTTTATGGGCTTCGAGAACCAATGTAATGTTAATAAAGGGATTTACCTTCAGGATTTAATAGAGCAGCTTAGGAACAGAGAAAATGACTGCCTGGTGCCACAGGATTAAAATGGACAGAATCAGGATTAGGATTTGATGAAATGTGAAACTAATAATTTATTCACCAAAAATGGTAGTTTCAGGTCAGCTGAAACTGCAAAGTCATACCTGAAAACATTTCAGTTGGAAAGAAAAGGGATTTATTTAGATTTTTTTCTTTTTCTTTCCTCCCCCAAGAAAACCCGCACGCTTGGTCTTTTTGCCTGAATTAAGTAAAAACCATCCTAAATGAATACTTCTGCCAGGATCCCCTGTCCCAGTCTCCTCTTCTCTCCTGAAGTGCACTGCCCCTCAGTGTTAGTCAGGTTCATTTTACTTCCTCCATTTACCTTCATCTTCACTAGTTTTTCTTACATCAATACATTTTTGTTTACATTTTCTGACTAGCCCTAATTCCTAGGAAAAGGCATGTGCTTTTACTTGGCATTAAGTTAAATTGACTATAGACAAAAGGTAGTTTACCTAGCAATTCAGGAAAGCCACTGGTTTTTACCCATTTGCTTTAGGTCTTTTAAATTATCACAGAAGGTGATGGGTCTGAGGGAGAAGCCAAAGGCAGATATTCCTTGTGATAGGACTATTAAATTGCCACCTCGTCCTCCAACTCATTCCTGACCTGATGGACGAAACATTTTCAAATGGCAGCCTCTAGTTTTGTGTACTTGGGTTCTGGACCGCGAAGGCCTGATCATTCGGAAGTGCCAAGGTGGCACAGCTTTCAGACAGCAACTGCTGGGCCTCAACATCTCAGGCAAAAAGAAAAATATTAAAACATTCAAAATTAGTCTGGTCCCAAGCATTCGAGGCAGGGCCACTTCTGAAAAACCTGCGCTTCACTTATCAGCAAAACATTCACCTGGCTCACAAGTGGAAAGGACAGGACAGCAGATCAACGTGTGTCCAAATTCAGACTCCTGTGGCAGAGCACTACATAGCCTATGTCCTACAAGGCTGGGATGGCAGCTTGAGCACTGGCTTGTCAGACTCTTATCATTGCAATGAACCTATACTTAGGAACGGCAAGAGACGGATACGCCAGAACACAAAATGCTCAAAGAAAATCACTTTTCCACCTAGGTCAGATGCATCAGTTCAGAGCCTATTCCCCTTGTCCAGCAAAAACATCTTGTGCAGATCTCACCAAAAAGCCAGCAGACTGACAAGCATGTCACTAGTGCAACCAGCCTTGAACTAAGCCAGTTATAGGTGTCTGTTCACTGCAAATCGCTGCCAAACCTTTGCCCTGGAAGAGAGAATGGGGAACATTGCTAATGAGAAGAGATGCTATTGCCGTGAAACCAAGGAGTTGCAGGGAAGAAAAAAGCTGCCTTTCTCTTCAGAGACTGAGGACACTTTCACACTTGCTGGCTCAGAGCTGGAGCACCAGAGCCCCATTTACAAAGCTGGACTTCCTGGCTGAATGAACAACAATTAAGTCATCTCTTAGCTTATCTTGGTACCAAGCTCATTCAGTTGCAGAAGATTAAGCCGTTGCTGTTGCTTTTTGTGAGGGACTGGGGACATGTCAGACATCTTCACCCCCCAGCATCTCTCAGTTATTTCTGTTTCTTTCTTCTACTGCCCTGTTCTCAGCTTCTTTCCCTCTGGCAGTGATCTACTCAAACATTTATAATACACCCATGGTCAAAGCATCCTGGCATGTCCTTCACACCCGAATGTTTCAGCTGTTATTAAATCACTGAACAGGAAAATTCAGTAGAGCATCAGTTCTCAGATTCGTTCATACTACAGGCCCTGTGGTTGTGAAAACCCTGCATATATTTCCCATCCCTTCTTCAGCCCTATCCTGAGCTATCTGGCATGCTTCACATGGCAAAACACTCCCAGAATGGCATTTGGAGACAAGATGAAAGCACATGCACTATAACATGATGGGCATGATTGCTTTATGACATCCTCTGCTTGTCCCTGCTACATGTCCTTTCTGTTTCTCTCCTCTCCATGTGGGACTTGCTTCTGTTCCTTCCAAATCACTCCCACCTGCTTTCCCACTGGTCTGATCTTTCTGGGTCACTTGACTGTTCGTTGCTCTGCAAGTATTTGAGCATGCATGCTGCAAATTAGCTTTCTGTGACTGTTTCTGTTCCAACACTTCATTGCACAAATGTTAACGGGAAATAAATGTGTGAATGGGCCCAAAGGGAGTTAATTTAGAAACGTTCCTGAAAAATATTTGCAGACTTGCTTGGTGATATTAGCTTAGTCTGGTCTTGAGACAAGCCAGGCAGAGAATACCATAGCCCTTAAGGGCCCAATCCTGTTGCTATCCATTTCCATTCTGCATGACCACAGCTTCCCTTTTCATGCATGGATTGGAGACATAGCAGAATTCACACGTGCCTTACTTCTGAACATTCACAAAGACTGCAGCTGATGGAAATATGGTCAGTTTTCAGAGCAATGGCATGCCAACAAGAGAAAGCAAATCTTTCATTAATGCCTAGAGTGCCAGCAGCTTTCAAATGGCCAACTAAATGAGATGGTCCAGGAACAAAAGGGTCCCATAAGTCATAAGAAGGAGTATTCTTGTATATAGAAATCCCAATGGTCCAGGAAACTAAAGTCACAACAATCACACCTCAAGGTATGAGACAATCACTCCAAGGATGTATGAAAAAAATTTCCCCTGGGTGATAGCATGTTCTTAATTAGACCTTGAGCATGTGTCTGTTACAAAGATTTTAAACAGCCTGAGTTTGGGAAGGGTATACTGTCAACATGCGGTGAATCCACACAGTCATTCAAGTCACTCCAAGTGAATCCTGCTCAAACCTTTTCCACTTTTCCACATCAACACTTGTTTTGGTATTTCTACAAAATGTGTACATTAACTGGAACCTGCATGAACGGTCAGACGCCTTGTGGCCACCAGTTCCACCACGCAGGCCCAGAGTGCTACAAGAACCACAAGTTTTTTCTGTGTACAGTAATATTACTGATGTTGCTCCTTCTAGAGTGAGCAACAATTTGGACTTCACTGTAAAGATAGAAATCTCCCTGCCCCATCAGTATAGATCTTGGTACAAGAACAGATCAGTGTTGGAAGTAGCCTGGAGGGGCATGGATCAGTAAGTGAACTGCAGGCAAGGCAGTCAAATGACCCAGTGCATTTGTCCCACAGAGATCACCTCCAGAGAGCGTGGGTACACAGTGTCATAGACATTCATCCCGTGCCCATGGTCTCCAAGGAGTTAAGAAACAGCTGCTTCAGAGAAGCAGTTAGTGGGCTCACGATGCTTGGCTCTGGCTGTAGCTTTCAGTTCTAGATGTAAACATAACTTGCAGGCATGTTCCCAATGCTAGGAGTGCAAAGGATCCAAAGCATCAAGTGCTCTACAGTGCACATAAACGTTTTGTTGCAACGATGCCCATTTCCTTAGCTTGCCAGCCAGGCAGCCACGGGTGACTGCATTTATGGGGAGTGCACCAACTGATCTGCCAAGATGCCAAACATCTCACAGTCTATTATGCAGGAAGCAAACCAGGTACCAACAGTCCCAGGCTGGAAGTGTAAGATATCAGTTATATCAAATGAAGGCAAATAGCCCAACTCAGGCATCCATTCAGGGAGCCGGAATTTATCTTCAGCTTGCAGGGATTTCTGTGCTAATCATTTCTTGGCTACTACGAAGCGCTTCATTAAGTAACTTGTTATTTATAGCCCACTAGCACTCTGAGGCCAAAAGAGATTGGGACCCCCCACACACACACTAGTGACCATACCAAAAAAGAATGCCTGCCCTGTGGAGCTTACCAGCCTTACAGTTGGTAAACTTTCTAAAAAGCAAGCAAACAATGGCAAAAGTTTGGATGAACATAACCTATTCTGAAACTTTAGTTGTGGTAAGAAGAACTATATCAGGTCAAGTGCATTGTAAAGATAATTTCAACCAGATTTACTAGATTTAAGGTGCATGTATTTTAGGACACAAGAACCTGAATTCTTTCCACTTCAGCCATTGCTAGCAAATAAGCTACATTCTGATATTCCACATATGCTTTTACTACTAGTGACTACTACAGCTCCACAGTTCCTCTGCAGTTATCTAGTTTTAGGCCTGTGAGTTTCATCTCTACAATAATTGGCCAAGTGCAAACTGAAGTGATGCATTCAAGCCTGCAAAAAAAAAAAAAAAAAAAAAAAGGACAAGCAGTGTCTGTGCATGGTGCACAGAGGGTTCATCTCCAGTAGAGTTACAAATGTTTCAGATATCATCTGTACTACAAATGGAAATGGAGTTATAACAAAGTGCTCCCCATATCAGCTGGGACTGAACTGTACACGGATTAAAACGCCAAGCTCCAGATCACTTAGGAAGTCTGTAGGAGAGCAAGGACTAGACCCCAAATCCTGAAAACTTAAAGGAGTCCCATGTTTTAACCACAACTTCTCCTTCCTCCCTTTAAAAACAAAGCAAGCTACTTTTCTTCAGACACCAATACCTTTTTCTTCCCTGATGAAGACTACGACAAGCCAAGTTTGGCATTTCTAGAGTCAGTTGTTTTGTACTTGCTTATCTAAAGCAACACAGGTCTCCCGTTCAACGCTTCCATATAGTTTTCATCAGTGTAGCTCTTCAGGTTTTACGCCAGCATAAACGAAAGGAAAAAATTAGGCACCAGGTGTGTTTCTCCCCTTTGCCCTCATTCATGCACTCTCAGCCAACCCGAGACGAAATCAATTTTTAAAATGTCCTGAAAAAAATGGAAGAAATCAACCTTGAGCTGATACCAAGGATGGAAACAATCAGCTTCTCCTACTCATGGGCTTCCTGGCCCACATACAAATCCTGGAGCCCTGGGAATCCCACTTGCGCTCTGAGAAGAGATGGGAGGACTCAAAATCAAACGTGGCAAATCCTACTGAGTAGGAGCATCTCTGTAAGATGGAGAGGTTTTCTCTTCCTGCAAAGCACAGCATCTCTTCTGGGACCCATTATAGCACAATTTTCTCTTCTGCTCCAGTTTTAGTGCCATCTTCATTATGCCACCTGATAACACAGCCTCACCATTGGGACCCGTTAGAGTTTACAGGTAGACATCCTTGGCGAAGATTAAAACCTCTTGTCAGCGGTTATATTTTGGAACCTCCTGAATATTTTAAGGATGCAGATAAAAAGAAATCAGCCAGAGGCAGACTGTAACTGCACCCAAGCACTGGCTGCTGCAGACGTAAAACAGCTGACACTACAGATTTGGGATTTCCCCACAGCATTTTTAATCTCTTTAGGAAACAAGTGGTTACTATATCTGGAGAGTTCTGCAATTGGTCACACAATTATCAGGGCCAACTTCCTGTGACATGCATGAGAGGCTGACCATTCTCTCTTATACTCAAAGCAGCTTGAGATTCCCTTATTTCAGATTAAAGCTTTCTATTGCTGAAGAACACCGTCACTGTGGTGTTTCAGTGACTCTGTTCTAGCTACAGGAAGAAGGGCTAGCTCCTTGTGGGCTGCAGTAATCCACAGCTGGCTAATCTGTGAAGTCATACACTGATGGTATTATTGCTTGGGACAACCAGAGACAAGACATCTTGACACACTATTGTCTGGATGCCTCAAATGCACACCATCCATTCCCTGTCTGAAAGGAGAATGCTCCGTATGGCATACAGGTTCTCAAAAAACTTCACAAGAAGTGTGTGATTATCATTGCCACTGTTTTATACCTGGGGAAAATCCAAGCTAGGAGTTGGTGACCCAATTAAAACCTTGCAGCCAGACTAGGCAATAGGGTTTAGCAATTCCTGGTCCATCTACCAGAGGACAGTGCCTCTCTCTGCAGCAAAAGTCCAAGGTACTATAATTTATAATGAAGTTACTGCATCATTTTGGTCTGTTACTGCCAATGTTAGTACTGTCTACCTACGGGAAAGGACAAAGAGGACCTTCAGGTCTATCGAGGCTAACATACCACTTATGTTGGTAATGAGATTACGCTGAAACAAAGCTAGCTCTCGCCAGCATCACAGGCCATGTAGGGAGGGACCTGGAAGTTAGTACTTGGTATGCCGTTTTGAACCCCACTGTAGTATTGTTCATAAGACAGTTTTCCAGTGTGCAGCAATGCACAGCAGCAAGCCTTTCCTCCAAATAGATCCTTGCACCTGGTGCTTCAAACTATCACTTTCCAATCCACATCCCCACCAAAATCACTGGGTAGTTTCACCTAGAGTCTCATGGCACAATACACCCCAGATGCGCAAGAGCTGCAGGCACAGGGAGAGTAAAACAGCTCTTACCTGGATCTCTTCTCCATTTTGGCTGCTCTCACCATGGAGCTTCTCCTTCAGTTTCCCAAGCTCTGCCCGCAAAACGCCCATCTCTTGTTCCTTGGTTTGTAGGTAGGCTTCCAACTCCACCTTCTGCTCAATCAGTGCTTTCCCTTGAGCCTCAACAACCGTTATTCTGTGCCTAAGGTCATGATTAATTTTCATTAGCCTGTTCTGCTGTTGTTGCAGCTGCAATATAAGCAACACAGTAAGTCAGCACACATTAAGCCATGGTAATTAAATCAAAAGTGTTAATTTAAAGAGCATGCCTGTTGAATTCATGTCTTCTTTCACTTTCATTTTTTTAAACATCTAATTATCTGCTGCAGTCTCGCTTTCCAAATGCTGTTTAATTAGTTTTCAGAGTTAATGGAGGTACTTTTCCTGCAGCATAAGACATTGTGTTCTTATCATCAAAGCCGTTTCTTCAAATGCTACAATCTCTCTTTAAAAGTGTTTCAAAGTAAGGTTTGAGGACATCATGACCCAAGATGAATCAAGCTTTGACCAAGGATAGAAACGATAAAGTTATTAATACAGGGTTGATTAATAATTGTATGTTGATAGCACCTGGTTGGAGCCAGCCAAGACTAAGCCCCATCATGCTAGACAGTAGACAGTATGAACCCCTGTTACAGACCATCCCTGCCCTGTGAACCTTACCATCCAAATGGTGGAGACAAAGAAAAGGTAGGAAGTAAGGCAGATGGGGAACTGAGGGCATCGCAGTCTCAGCATCTCAAAGCTTTGCTGTCAAGTGCTCCATAACCAAGATTTGAAAACAAGTCTCCAGAGTCCCAGTCCACAACCTTAACTATGAGCTCCTCCACCTTTCTGGAAGTTTATCCAGTAGTTCAGTGTACATAGCCTCATCCCAGAATCTTCCAAATAGGTGTCCACATTACCTATAGCACCACAGTGGAGCACCTGGTTGACAGACTGTAGAGAAAGCTAGGTCTGAGTGGCTCGTGCAGCCCCTTGCCTTGAGCTGAGATCTTCAAAGGCAAACCTGATGGGTGTCATTTGCAGAGTGCTTTGCCTAAGTGGAGAGATTAAACATATCCAAAGAGGGAAGGAGCAGCAGTTAGGTGCCCAGTTCCCAGATAAGTGGAGTTGGGTGCCCAACTTTCCTTTGTGCTAGCTGCTTTTCACAGGCAGCGCATTAGGTCGTTTCAAAATTGGTAAGATGACTCAGTCCCTGTTCTGAGGAGCTCACAATCCTTCAAACTTCCTCTGTAGATGCAGAGAAAGGGTCATACTCCAGAGCTGCTAATCTGGCATCGTTCATAAACTCTGAAGTCACTTAAAACTCTTTTGAACATCCACAGTGTTCTTCAAGGTAGGGAGAAAAGAATAGCCACTTACTGCCTCCACGTCCTCATTCTTAAGCCCAAGTTCCCGGTCCTTTGCTCTGATCTCATCCCTCTGTTTATCTACCACTTCCTTCAGCTTCTTCATCACTTGTCGCTCTCTCTCAGACATCCCTGGTTTAAAAAGAAAAGAAGAGAAAGGGGTTGAGAATGGTTAGCTAATGAGACCAATAACAGAAAAGTGTGTTAGTGGCATTAGGCAACTTCCATTGCCTTTCTCAACGAGGGAAAGGCTGTTGGTAGATCACTTTGCTCAAGAAAGCTGTGTGCTATGTTCACAAATCATGGGGAAGAGACTACATAAGTCCACACGGCATGTCACCCAACCGGCAGGCCTTAACAGTCCTCCAATGCGTTTATGATGGGCAGTGAAACACCCCAGTTCCATCTCTTTGTTAAGCACCCAGCTATGATGTTCATACACCAGTCCCATGGGCTTGGGGAGAGAGCTATAAGTATGACTAGGAGATGCTCCATAATGGGTCTTTCATTTAAAAAAAAAGATAGGAAAGATTTTTTTATGGACCAATAGATGGAATTTTGCATTGGCAGGGTCAAATCTCACTTTATGCACATGCCACTAGGCTTAGATTCATAGATGTTAGGGTCGGAAGGGACCTCAATAGAGCATCGAGTCTGACCCCCTACATAGGCAGGAAAGTGCTGGGTTTAGATGACCCTAGCTAGATACTCATCTAACCTCCTCTTGAAGAGCCCCAGGATAGGGGAGAGCACCACCTCCCTTGGGAGCCCGTTCCAGACCTTGGCCACTCGAACTGTGAAGAAGTTCTTCCTCATGTCCAGTCTAAATCTGCTCTCTGCTAGCTTGTGGCCGTTATTTCTTGTAACCCCCGGGGGCGCCTTGGTGAATAAAACCTCACCAATTCCCTTCTGTGCCCCCGTGATGAACTTACAGGCAGCCACAAGGTCGCCTCTCAACCTTCTCTTGCGGAGGCTGAAAAGGTCCAGTTTCTCTAGTCTCTCCTCGTAGGGCTTGGTCTGCAGGCCCTTAACCATACGAGTGGCCCTTCTCTGGACCCTTTCCAGGTTATCCGCATCCCTCTTGAAGTGTGGCTCCCAGAATTGCACGCAGTACTCCAACTGCGGTCTGACCAGCGCCCGATAGAGGGGAAGTATCACCTCCTTGGACCTATTCGTCATGCATCTGCTGATGCACGATAAAGTGCCATTGGCTTTTCTGATGGCTTCGTCACACTGCCGACTCATGTTCATCTTGGAGTCCACTAGGACTCCAAGATCCCTTTCCACTTCCGTGCCACCCAGCAGGTCATTCCCTAGGCAGTAGGTGTGCTGGACATTTTTCCTCCCTAGGTGCAGCACTTTGCACTTCTCCTTGTTGAACTGCATTCTGTTGTTTTCTGCCCACTTGTCCAACCTGTCCAGGTCTGCTTGCAGCTGTTCCCTGCCCTCCAGCGTGTCCACTTCTCCCCATAGTTTTGTGTCATCCACAAACTTGGACAGAGCGCATTTCACTCCCTCGTCCAAGTCGCTGATGAAGACAGCTTGGTCCTTCCCTTGCAGGGAGATTAGTTGGATGCTTCGAGAGGACCTTTTGACTTCCCTCGTACAGAGTTGGGTCAAAAACAGTGGCTGTTCCGCTTGAGTTAGGACCATGCCCTCTCTCTGGATACATATTTTGCCATTCTCTCCCTCCTCACCATCCCATCCCACTGCAGTCATTTGGCTTTAAAAATCAGTGATTCTCAACCAGGGTGCCACTAGGTAATTTGAAGGGTGCCTTGAGGCATGAGGAGAGAAGCAGAGAAGCATAAGCTCAGGCTTGTCCCTACCCCCACTGACCAGCCCCTCTGCAAGGAGGTGAGCACTGCAATATATAAATTTGTTTTTGAAATCAGGTGCCACTCAAGTCACAGAAGTTTCAGAGGATACCTCGAGTCCAGTGAGGGGTGCTTCAAGTCCCAAGAGAACCACACAGTTGTGTGTCAGTAAATCTGTGGCTCAGGGGCTAATTAGCAGGGCTGCCTTAGGATACATGGGCCTGAATGTGGTTCAGTGGCTAATGGAAGTGGCAGTATCAGTATGGAGTTGCTGTGTGATCTTAGGCAAAGCACTCAGCCTTTCTCTTCCTCATTTTAGACCCGGGGGGAAAGGCAGGAAAGCTATGAATAGCAATAATTTCCTTACCCCCTGGAGCAGCTGGGACACCAAACTCAAAGCCTTTTTTTAATCCACTGGGGCAGCTCTTCAATTAAGTGTGCTGCATCAGCTTTGCTTTGTCGATAGCTGGCTTCAACCACCCCACTAGGTTTTTCAGGGGGATCAAAGTAAACTCCTATGGGGAGACTTGTGCTTACTGCCTCCACATCAGAGACACTCCCCACAAGAGCACCAGTACCAACAATGCAGTGGAAACGGAGAAAACTGGAGAGAGCAAGACAGACCTGGAAGAGGTGGAGGGGTGGCAGCCATGCTGCATCCCTTGCCCTTGGCTTCCAAGTCTGTTTTGGAGCTGCTGTGGGTTCCTCACCAGGTGCAAAAGCACATGAATGTGGAGAGGGAAAATAGCACCTTCCACCCCTCTTCCACCACTGCAAAGACTATCAGGAAGCTACCAGGAGGATGCTAAAGCAAAGGAGAAAGGTAACCTTAAAGGAGTGCAGGAGGGAGGAGGGGTGTGCTAGGAAGGGCTGGCAAGTTGTTCTGGAGGGGGTGTTGCTGCAGAGACTATACAGAGTCTGATCATGACTCAGGTGTTCATGTTCCAGTTTGTCTTGGGCTGATCTTTTATCTCCCTGTTAAGCCTCCTTGCTCTGCTTCTGAAGTTGGATCCTCTCCTCAGCCTTGAGCATTTTGGAGAATTCCAGTAATTCTCATGGCTTTGATGCGGCTTACTGCGACCCAGTAGGGAGGACAATCAGGCTCCAGGATTAAGTTGTCAGCCCTGCTCAGCACACAGCTGGGAGTCTAGATCTGGAATATTAATCCCAGTTACGAGACCGGACAGTGAGTCAGTGACAGGCTCATCACTAAAGCTCTGTGCCTCAGTTTCCCCAGTTGTAAAAAAAAAAAAGCCATGTTTTTGCATAAGTGAGCAGGAGCCCCATTACAAATCAGCAAGGGAACAAGCCTCCCGCAAAAGCCAGCGGAGCACAGCAGTTATCCTTTACACAAGTAGCTTGTCAGTGTAATTTGATTGTGTGTTGTAACACTACTGTGCATGCTAACATGCTGTGCTGGAACCTGGCTCACTCCCTGCAGAGCTGGATGCAGGATTGATGCCCAAAACATCAGCTGGGCTGGGAGGTACCAAAGAGACCAACAGCAATGAAGAGTACTTGGACTGGCAAGTTTTTACTGCTCCTTACCCACGTGGGGGTTATGAGGCTTAAATTAATGTTTGCGTGTACAGTAAAATGCTTTGAGACCCCCCCCCTAACTACCATATGCTATTTAAGGAGCAAAGCATCTGTGTGTCATTAAACCGACTCCCTTCCCCTCACCCCTCATTTTCCTCTCTGGCATTTGGTGAACATAAAGGACTTCTGCTGACTCAACATGGATCACAGAATCATTTTCTTTGAGGACGAGGTGTAGGATGTTTGTGTTCCACAAGCATTTTCTTCATTTGCCGTATCTTAAACACACAGGAAACGAGAAAGCGGCCAAGCACAGTGAGCGCAAGACTGGCAGTCTCCATGATTCAGTCTCTGCTATCTGCAGGATCTTAAATGGCACACCCAGATGGCTTCCCCAAGCTCACCCCATCCACAGCTTCCTTTGGATTGGTGAGCAAGCTTGATTTGTTGTTGTATGGCATGGCAAGAAAGAAAGCAGCTCAAAATGCATCTCTACTCAGCAAAACAGAAACTAGGCCCTCATTAGGGCCTCTAGTATTTATACTGGGGGGGCCATACAGTCACATAATTAAAATGAAATTGTGTAGCAAGTACAATTTAAATATACTCTCACATTTGCAAGAAGACTTTAACATTGACCATCCAGGATATGTTTAAAGGCTCTTTCTTTACACCTGCATGATTCTTCTGGAAGGAGAGAAGAGCCTCATCTTATTAGCACTGAATTCAATTATCAGACCCTCATGGATTTTATTGGGTGCCTGCCCTAACAAAAAATAAAAAAAAAAAGCTGTTGTATCAGTTTAATGTCTGATAGTGTCCACCTGAGGCCCCTGATGGTATCACAAACCTTGTGCCACATCTTTAAGTTCTCATGATCCAAATATATTGATGAATAACTGTGGTAGGATGGGTTCCTGGATAAGCAGACAAAAATATCTCCTCCCACATAGCAAGTTTCCTGCAACTTGCTGAGGCCTCTCAACTAAGGGTAGAAATGGACTTCAGAAGTCTAGTCCAGCCCCTTCCAGAGATTCAGGATGTGCTGTTTCCTTTCCACCTCAAACAGATGCCCATCCAGCCTCTGATTCAAAGCCTTCAGTGAGAGAGATTCAACAACTTCCCATTCACTGCTTTACTATGGCATGACCTGTTTCCTGGAACTGGCCTCAGTAATTGAGATTGAAATATAATCCCAAACCAGAACTAAGACATGATCAGATGGGAAGTAGAGGGCTGGGGCCTAGATCCACCTGAGTATTTAAGCACTTTACTCCTACTGATCTCAATGGAAATTCAGGGCCTAAATATCTTTTGGGGATTTGGAACAGTCTTTTTAGGACACAAGTGTGAGAGAGCTTTTTGGGGAGCTTCCTACATGTGCCCGTCCTGCCACAATCCTACCTGAGATGGTAGGGTGTAGGATCTTCTCCCATAGCACGTCCCTGCACCCTCAACTAAATTCACCAGTGGCGTTACACATAGGATTAATTTGATGAATAAGAGCAATGTTAATAAGACTGCTCAGGATCCTGCCGCATCTACTTTGAACTCTGTCTTCTGCCCCACAACTTTTTGAATAACTCTGTTCGGCTCAAGGCTTCCAAGAAGAGTAGCTCACCTTAGTGCTATTCCCTCTTCCACACTTTCAGCCTCAAGGCTGACTCATTACAGGACACTTACTTCAAGCCGAATGACCTGCCTCATGGAATAAGGCTACTAAAGTATTGTGCCTTTATGAGTATCGACTTCCAAAGTGCTCAGAAAGGGATGGCGGCAGCTCTGCCCTGCCCAAACCACACTTGTCAGGGCTTGTTTAAAAGTGACTTTGAAAGAACTTTTGCTAAAAGATAAGGCACTGTTGTAACTCTTTCTCCCCCACCCCCCTAAGAAGCCACATATACCTTCTTATGACTGAATGGCATTGCCTACACTGATAATAAAGCACGAGCCCCAGTTATTTTCAAGATGCCTCACAGAAGAGCTGTGTTTTCAGATGGGAGATAGCTGAGGCTACGTACAGTCACATGCCTCAGTCACTAGCAGGAACTGAACTAGAGACCTAACATGCACCCATACCACAAGCCTCTACCACTTAAACTGGATTTGTTCAACTGCCTGGCAGGCAGGTTATTAAACCCCAGGTCCAGCCAGCCACTAAGTGGGGAGACATGATCACAGGCACCAAGTCATGCTAAGGGAGTGGTCCCCAACCTTTGGTGGCCAAGGAGCAACAATATTGAGCAACACACAGGAGGCAACAGCACCTTTACTCCCCTGTCAAACCCAGCTTTAAAGTCTTAATGTCCTGTGAAAGCCCCAGCAGCAGCCAGGATCTCATTGCCCATGTGTTGCCTATGAGCAATAAGCTGGCGACCGCTGTACTGAGTCATGAAATCTTAACCTGAAATCTTATTATAGCTACTTAGACCTGATGAGGTCTGAGACTTGGAAAGCTGTGTCTGGGTCCACAGACAGCGTGCATAGAGTATGCTTTTTGTGCAGTCACATGGTTACCCTGAAAACAATCCTTTGCAGCATTTCCCTCTCAACCAAATTGAAACTTTGATTTGAGGGCCAGGTCTGTGCCTATTTATGAATGACAAACTTCTCCAGTGGGAGGTTCTTCTACATCATCCAGTTCCAATGCCAGTCATAACAGATTCCCAGTTACTTTTACATTGCTGTTACAGAGATTTGTCTGAAAGACATCCTGGTCTCATTGAAGTAAACGAGATGTTTGCTAACATTTTTTGCCATACCCCAGATTTGACTCCTGAAGGTTTTTTGTGTGTCTGTCAAAGTAAAAATAACCTTGAAAAGCATGCCTAGCATTTCCTTGCCAATCTAAACTCAAGGCTTATGACTATATTTAAATACAAACACAAAAACTGCATTGAGTGGGTTTATCCATTGGAAAAAAAAAACTAGGCGAGAAAGCAGAACAAAAGGAAATCTGACTCTCTGCAACATGTCAAGTTCTTTTACTTCTGTGACTCATCTGCCTCTCCTCCACCCCCTCCCTTTTTTGAACACTGACATTTTTCCCAATTAACAGTCAATTAAATTCCAATAATAGTGAAAGCTTGCTCAACTACAGCCTAGGAGACTCAGAAGAGTTGCATTTATCTTCATGAACTAGTGGCGCTAAAGGGGTTTCATGCTTTTTAATTGCAATCTTCCATTATACTCCTCCACAGGTACTCAATCTAAAGATTTGATTCAGTACTGAGAAGACAGGTTGCTGAAGGCTTTTTGCCCATCTACCCAAGGATGGAATTTAGCCCTGTACTTTAGTGTTCTTTAAGTGAGAAACGTCCATCTGTTACCATTTACTGGAGGCTGCTACGAGCCCCAGTTGAGAGCTGTGGTTTTCAAAATTGGAACCTGTGCAAAGATTGCTCAGAGTGATTAAAAATGCTGGGTTCTCACCATCAGGCACCTTAAAGGGCTTGCTCTTTAGATAGTGTTTAGTACTTCTTCTCTGCGAGACAAACCCCTTTAAGTGTCTCAATGTAGACATGAGAACTGGAAACACAGAATTCATTAAATCTCTTGAAAAATCTTGGCCATAAGTAGTAACTCATATTGGGATGTGCTGCTTGACTACAGTCTGTCTAGTCCACAGCTACACAAGATATTAAGTGCATGGCTGTAGTATTTCAACTATGCAGCCGACAATTATTTTTTTAATTAACTTTTTGTACATTTAATCAGATCCTTGACTCAGGCAATTATATTAGTAACAGGCCTCAATCTTGCAAGAAAGAAGCCTGGGCATCTGCAGAGCCTTGAAGTAGTCAGCAGGATCCATCCATGCAGCCCTGATGTAGGCCTGGAATCAACTAACACGATTTCTGCCCATTGAATACTTCAGATGAAAACCACCCATGTCATTTTACAATTTGGGCAATTTTTAGTCAGGTCTCTAAAACACATGGTGCTCTCTCCAAGATTTACCAGCTACCCTCATTATAGATGTGCATGCAGAATAACCCCTGCCGCCTTGTGAGGCCCAGCTCAGACGAGTTATTTCTCTGCTATAATGACTCTCTCCCTTGGTCTTTGACCACGGCAATTCTGAAATTTTGCCATGCGGTCTTGTCTTGCCAATATCTCAAAGCAGGATCCCCCTCCACTCCCAACTCTGCTTGTCATAAATTAGTTGTTTTTCTTCGAGCTCAGCAGAATGGAGCCTAATTGCTTTACATTCCAGTGTACTGAACTGCATCAAGTTCACTTGCATCTCTCTACTGTTTTGCACAGATATGGAGAGACTGAACCTATGCTACAAAAGCAAAACATTCTTTAAAACGAGGGAAAACATTTCTCAAGAAAAAAAATATTACGCCCAAACAAAAGAAAAGCAGTTTTACTTTTCACTGTTCTCCTTCTCCCAGCAAATAATGATGGTCCAATCTTTCTTTTGCTTCCATGATTTAGTCACAGATTCTCCCCTCACTCCTCCCCAATCTATCCAGAAAAGAATAGACAGCAATAGACACAGTAGATACAACACGCATCTTCAATCAAGAATCACTTTTGAAAAAAACGGCTATTACACAGTTTCAAGAGTTAAACTTGCCTTCATGTTTCTGGAACTCCTCTTCTGTGAGGTTAAGGTCTTTATGAGATAGGTTAGACATCAGCTGTTTGTTTTCCTCCTGCAGCTGAGCTATTTGGGTAAGAAGGTCCTGGGCCTCCCCTCGCCATACATCCTCCACCAGTTCCAGTTCCTAAAAGACACAGCATAACATTATTGCTGATATCTTTGACCAAAGCTATTTGCAGACCACAGCTCTGACCAAAGCTTTTTGTAGAGCAAGCCACCAACATCCCACAACATTCTCTTTTTATTTTAATCCTTTAAACCACTCCAGTAAAATAATGGGGTCCCCAACTGCATACAGCTTTTTGGTGTCAACATAATACCCGCCCGAGACTGGAATTTCACTGTAGAGAATCCCTGCACCAAAACGATTTTCAATTTAAGTAGGCAAGATTGCTACAGGATGGATTCTTTCTGCCATTTCACCGATTGGGAAGTGAGAAAGAGATTCAACGACTTGCCCAGCTCCGGGTGAAGGTCCTTTTGAGAGTTAAGAACTGAACTTAAATCTTTAAAATCATGATCTGCACGCTCAAGGTACACAGAGCACCAAATGGGCTTTCCGGCACGCTCGAGACAAGTCAGGCAGAACATGGCATACTGATTTATTTTGAGAGTATATTAATATCCCCCTCTATAGAAAAAGGAGTATATTTATGTCTCGGGTAGTGTTCTGCAAGAGTACAGTTTAGGTAGCAATGTGACAGCGGTGCAATATTGTTGATTATATTTGTAGTTTTAATGAGAAGGCACCAGAGTGCTGGGTTCCTCGTCCTGTGTTTTAACAGTTCGACTACGCCTCCTTTCACATACCGCTGTTCTGAAGTGATAGCCATGTCCACAACAGCAAAACTGTTCAAAACAGCAACTCCCTTTATTCATGACACTTTGTGTCAAGAGCAGCTGCTACCAATCCTGATAAAGGTCATATCAGGACACTAAGTATAGACACATCCTGGAGGAAAGGAGATCATACTTATCTCAGTTTGCTTTAAAAAAAAAATATATATATATATATATATCTTCATCGTAAAGCAGGAACTCTCTGATGGTGGGCAGTCTGTGCTCCCTCGTCATGTCTGTTGTTAAACACAGCCGCTACACATACTTGTGCTCAGATCATGGAAACTCTAGCTGAGCTATGTGCTAGCTTTCCACAAAAGTATTTCTACTTGTATGCAGCTTTAAAAAGCCAGGGCACAGCTCTAGAGGGCTGGAGCATGCTCTACTGAGAGTGCCACATGCCAGAGGAACAAACACAGGCAGAAAAGCACTCTCGATAGGAAACTACTCTCCCCTCAATTTTCAGTCCCAAAATACGCAAAATAAATTTTAATCCAATGTCCAGCGCACACAGTTAGGAGCATCAGAAAGAGACAGAGGAAAAAACCCAACCAAACAGCTTATCCCCTCAGAACTGATGGGACAGGAAGCAGAAACCAATCCTTGTATCATGGGTGATGACCTCCATTATTGTTATCCTTTCCCTAAACATTTGGGTCTATGGGAGAAACACTTGTTAAATTATCTATATCAATATAGATAATCTATATCACTATATAGATCTATACTATAAAATCTATATCCCTTAACTCTCCTCCTCTATATATATCTAGATTATCTATCTATATACAAATATAGATCGATAGATAGATAGATAGATAGATCGATCGATCAAGATATGGTGAGAGAAAGAAAGAGAGAGAGTGCATGCTACATACAGCCCATTGCCTAGTATGACACGATGACATGCGTGTAGGGAACTTTTGGACAGACAAGGTTCTTTGGGTGAATCTGATATCTTTTATTAGACCAACCTAAAGTTTTAAATTGGTCTAATAAAAGATATCAGATTCACCCAAAGAACCTTGTCTGCCTATGTCCTTAGACCAACATGGCTACAACCTACACCAACACGCACTAACTTATTGGTGTACGCACCCTGAATATCAGCTAACACGGATGGTTTCTGGTGCTGCTGCCCAGACCCAGCCTGGCACTCTTGTACACACAGTGATTTTATGAAGTGAGAACATTGCTATCAGCTGGGCGTTCAGCAGCATGTATGAAGTCCCTTGGCCAGCCCCAGCTACAGTAGGTCTCCCCAGCCAGGCATCCAGCTCACTAGGACATCCCCCGAGAGAGTCAGGTGCCTGGAACTATTTCACTCCAGCAGACGGCTGAAGAGTGACTGGGCAACCAGAGCTACTACCTCCCTGGGCCTGCAAAGGCAGGCAAGGGACCGGAGCAGGAAGGAAGACTGCATCTGCCTAGGTCATCCCCAGGCCTGTTCTACAGATGAGAGATTTGGCTGTCTGGGGGCGAGTCAGCGCTGCACCCCTGGGCGCCTCCCCTCTGTCACTCCTCAGGCAGGATCACACTGCCACACAGCTCCTTGCTGCAACACACTGTGAATACCTCTGGGACCTCTGAAAAAATTACACGTTAACCTCCAGTCCAACCTGCCTCGTGCCCGGGAAGCTTGGGACATGCCCATGGACCTGACGCTTGGCAGGTGGACGTTCCCTTGAGGGACGCAAAGCCTCTGCTGCCTTGTCCTGGCTGCTCACATGGGCGCCACACACCAGCAGTGACGTGGGGCAGTCACTTTGGTGGGAGAACCAAGGGCCTGGCGGAGCTAGAGCTTCAGGAGCACTGGGAGCCAGGAGCTTCAGAAGCCAGAAGCTTTTGGAGCCCGGGAGCTAGGAGCTTCAGGAACCAGAAGCTTCAGGAGTCAGGAGCTTTAGGAACCTGGGAGTTTCAGGAGCCTGGAAGCCAAGAGTTTTAGGAACCCAGGAGCTTCAGGAGCCCGGAGGGAGGCGGAGCAGGACCTTCAGGAATGTTAAGAACCCGGGAGCCAGGAGCTTTAGGAATCTGGAGCTGCAGGAGCCCAGGGGCCAGGAGCCAAGAGCTGTAGGAGCCTGGGGGTGGGGGGGGGCAGCCAGCTTTAGGAGCCTGGGAG